AGTTTACTTTCATGACAAGTGCATATTACCACTACTTAATGGCTTAATCCCATTTTTGTTAACCAGAAGCCTTTTGATGCTCATTTGCTGAATGTGACAAGAAAACCTAAGTGCCCGTTTCCTCTCTGATGTGACAGGTGCCAGCACTGGTGTGAACGTTTAACAGCTTAAGCCGGAGATCACTCTCAGCTCAGCTGCTCCACTGACAGCCAGCAGTGCCAGAGAGCTGCACTGTCAGGAGCTGCTACTGCCAGTGCTTCTCCAGCAGGGCAAGGCAAGCAAAGAGAGCAAAGGGAAACTTGGAATAATGCTACAGTGTTTAGTATTCGAGATTTTGCACATGCCAATGCCCTGAGAGGTGGTGGAAGGGAGACAATACGAGCCCAGCTCAGACTGCTGGGACATTCATTTCCTACCCCTCTGCACTGTGGTACATCTGGCACTACCCTTCATGCTGAGAGCCTCAGCTTTGCATAGCCTGTCCTTGCCTGAGATGACACTCAGATTTGACAGTTGCTGGCACATGACAGTCTCTCCCAGAAGACGGCAACAGCACCTTTCCGCCAGGCAGCCAAGGATTGCTCTGAGTTCCTGTCATGTACCAGAGGGATTTTTACGGTATGCTGGGTTTGCTGATGGAAGAAATACAGTAATTTGGGAGGGAAAAGGACAGGGGAACAATACTTTAAAATAGTGCCTTTTATTCAGCACAGCTGCTCCTGTGTGTGTGCATGTCCACTTTCTTCTGACTTCCCTGACAAGTACATAACTTTGCCTCCAGGGACTTAACAATAGTGGATAAAGTTTAGTGGAATTCCCTAAGTCAGCAAGTTTCATCTAAGTAAGTGTCCACAATTGCAAATCCTGCCACTAAAGATTCTTTCGGCAGTCAGGGAAGGTGTGTTCCAGCTCACCTCACTTGACACCTGCTCTGGCACGATTTGGCACAATCTGCACTAACGCTGAGATGCAGAATGGCAGCACAGTTCTCTCCACACTCAGCAGAGGTGATGCAGTTTGTCACACCACAGGCAGTCAACTACAGTGAAAACATCTCCATTTCTAGGAGAATATGGATTGACTAGTGCAGATATTCTATGTCCTATACTGTCTTGTCACTTAGTCACAGGAAGGCCAGCATTCCTAAGGCAAAATTCCTTACAATTAGACAACACCCCTTCTTACAGTTACCATCTTTTGTGCCATGTGAGGAAGACCAGACTTACAGTTCCATGCAAGAAGTTGCTGCCCGATTGGTAATGGTCACTGCTCTAACCCAGGTCGAGAAAACAAGAGGTGGATTTTAAAGCAGGCAGCACTTTACCCTCTGACAATCACACTTCAGCCTCACCTCCTCCTCCAAAACAATTTCCACCTAAATGTTCAGCCTCACAGTGCTCCAGCAAAGCAGCCAAGGCAGTCAATACTCAATAGTTCCAAATAGGACTGAATCCTCTGAATACTCTGCAGGAGGTGCTCAGCAGCTCATCAATCTTCATTCCTGACTTTGGCTCCTCTGAAAGCCAAAGCCTAACTGGAATGAGGCAGCTTCCTCACTTGAAATCCCAGCTTTGCTGAATGGCTACCACAACAAAGCAGCAACATTAAGTTGCCAGACAAATTAATTTTCTGGGGGTTTCTGCACTTCCAGAGTTACTCAGAAGATGTTCTGGGCTAATATAGAATTGGTCATGGGTTCCTTACAATTGTGATTTTAAAACCTACTTGTGATTTCAATAAATAAGCACCAATCCAAAATAATATGCCCGAATAAGTGGCCTGATTTTCACAGTACAGTCCTAAAAAGCAGCTTTTCTAATACCTCCAGCCAGCCAGCTCCGAAAATTCATGCTACCATATAAAGCTAAACTTTCCATGCAGTTATGAATATGTATGAAAACAACTATGGACAATCTTTTGCTCAATAGAGTCAAGCCTGTTGCCAATCCTAAACCACACTAAATCCACAGAATGAAATAGTGGTGCAAGACTCATGGGAAGATGGTGTGTAACAGTGTTCCTGTGCTCTCCCTGCAGCAGAAGGGATTCTGTTTATGGGTTTGCATAAGTAGTAAAATCATAATTTTGCTTTGAAGTTCCTGCTCGTGCTGCAAAGGCTGCAGTCTTGGGAGTTTTATAATGAGAAGTAGTTAAATAAAGAATTCAAAGGTCCTGCTGCAGTAGTACTGGGACACTGGGTAACAGGGAGCCAGGATTCAGGGTTCTGGCATGCTATTCCAAGGCTCTGGAACCTGTTCCCTATGCTGTCTATTTTTTTTCCCTTTTATATATATATATCATATCCATTTCTTAATTTATAATTTTATCAGAAACACTGGTAAAATCATGAGCATTCATACAGTGTTTTGAGATCTTCAACTACACCACAAGTCCAAAATTGCTCGTTTCCCTTAGTAAATACAGGTGCACCAGGAAAGGACAATTCCTCTACTACCGTCTGGAGAAAAACCTATTTGGGCACCACCTGAAAAAGATGAGAACTTCCCCAGGAAGGTCTGCCTTACATTTTGATAACAATCACTTCTGCTACAAAAACTGGAGATAAGAAAAGGCACCTCTTTGGGTATTTTTTAAGGGAAAGAGAGAGGCTGATGGCATATTTTCATGTATGTTCCGCTCATAGTAACATTTAATTTCCAACCCAAATATTAATGGAAATTTTTAACGTGGTTACAGCCTTCGTGGTTACCACGACAGTAGGATATATATATATAAATACAAGTACTCCCTACAGTGTCTGCCATCCAAATTATGCAGAAATGGAATAGTGCCCAGACTTGTGAGATAATATAAACAAAATTAGAAACAAAACTAGTAAAGCCACGCTGTCCATTTAGAAAACAAATAGTACAAAATGAGATCAGTTAAAAACATTCTATGCAACTTAAGAGTATCGCTAGGAAAAAGAAACGTGCTGCTTTGCCCTCTGGTAGTCTGACAGCATTCCTAGAAACCATTCTGCTCACATATTACAAGAAATGACATGGGCTTTCTGCAAGTGTATCTCAGTAAAGATTTTGGCCCTTTTAACTTTCTGAGAAGTTTGGAACAGTTTGTCAGGGTCACTGGCTGCTCCTGCTAGGTTTGGCAGGTTTCACCGAGAAGACTGTTGCCATAGGAGCAGAGAGCCATGCCAAGGAACAGAGTGCCATCAAGACTACTGACAAGCTGCTCTGCACCCACGTCCTTTGTTCAGATGAAGTGGATCCAGCTCTCCTCACACTCCCTCGGCATTTTAAGGGGGTGAGTCCGGCAGGTGAGAGTGTAGTTTTTGCCTCTGTTGTTATCCCAGTACTCCTGACCATTGACTTGGTACCTTGCTGCAAACTGGACGAGAGAGCACAGCTGGAGGAGGAAAGGAGGCACAGGGAGAAAGAAAGTGAAAACATCGACCTGATCCTGCCCGTTCTTCTCCGGGATGCTGCGGTGCCAGCGAGCGCACACCTCGTGGAGGCTCTGCCACTGGTTGAAGGTGTAGCGCACAGACACCCGCTTCTCAAACGCCACATTGCGAACCTGGATGGTGCCACTGAGCCCCAGATCAGAGCTGGTCACCCGCTCAAGACACACCTGCTGCTCCTGAAGCCGGGAGGAGAAATCCATACAGTCTGCAGGCTGCTGGAAGTCAGGGACCAAGCACTGCATAGTAAACTCCAAGTGCGAGTTGCTGTACCAGAGGTCTGAGTTTATGGAGAGCCTGGACAGGACATGCAAGGGGATGGATGGGTCCTCGCCAGTCTGGAAGACTTTCACCTCGGTGAGCTCCAAACCCAAAGCATCAGCAAACCTCACGCGGTTCATCCGACTCTGGCATGCAGGAAGCTGACGGGGCACCGCTGCTCTCCTCCTTTCGGGTGATGTGGGCAAAGACCTGGCTCGGCGGCGTATGATGGGCCGCAGTGCTGGGTCACAGCTGGAGGATGTGCTGCTCTGACGGTGGTTTGGCTGGGGGCTCTCCTTGGCTGGGGTGCTGCTCCGAAAAGTCAGGCTGCTACCTGTATGGACTGCTGGGGGCTGCTGCTGCCCTCGTCGTGCTGCTCCTTCAGCCCTTAACATGTTCTCATAGAGATCAGAGAGATAGCTGGGATTCCTCCGAGGACCACGCACTTCCATTCTTAACCAATGACAAAGAACCAGGCAAGGACCAGGTAATGGTTCTTGGTAAAGAACCAGGTAATAAAGAACACTGCCCTTCTGAAGCACTTAATTTGGGAATGGCAGCCACGAACAGTAAGGTCTGAGGTTATTGCACTGGATGCAGGAAGAAGGATCAACTTGAATGTCACCTTGTGAACAAAGGGCACAAACGTGGAAGCTCTCAGAGCAGCTGGAAGGATCCAGCGGCGAGGGTGTGTGTGTGGAGATGAAGGCGAGATGAAGGCAGTCTCAGGGGCCGATAAACTCGAGATCGCTGTGCTGGCTGGTGCCCCCGAGGCTCAGGCTGGAGAGGGATTCAAGGCTATCACCGCTGATACTGGAGGAGCTCACGCACAGGCTGGAGAGCGACTGGAGGCTGTCGTGCTGGATAAGGGACTCCAGGCTGTCGGAGAGGTCGCTGGATGGCGGGTGCGCCCCGAGGCACCCCCGGCCGGAGCACAGGGCGAGAGGGGCCTGCAGACTGTCCTCGCTGACCCCCACCGACCCCGCGCTGCCGCGGCAGCAGCAGCAGGACGAGCAGGGCGGACACTCCAGGCTGTCACACTGGATGCTGGGCGAGTCGAGCCCGGGGAAGGCTTGCAGGCTGTCGGGCGGCAGCGAGCCGGAGCCGAGCCCGGGGCTGCTGCAGAGGCTGGAGGGGGCGCGGGGGCTGTCGCGGCCGGGGCTGTCGGGCGGGACCGCAGCGCCGGGCCCGGGGGGACGGTCCGCGCCCGGGGCCGCCACAGCGCCCATGAGCGACCCGGCCCCCTGAGCCCGGCCCGGCCCGGGCGGACCCCGCTCCGCCGCCACAACGCAGGCGCCGGGCCCTTTCCCCGCCCCGGCCCGCCCCTCGCTCTGCGCTCCCCGGGACCGCCCTCGGCGGCGGAGGACGCGGTGCCGGAGGAAAAGGTACGGTGGGGATCGGGAGAGGCCCGGCCGTGGCGCGGGGATGGGGGCGAGCCCGGTGGGAGGTGGCGGGGGCGGCGGGTTCGGGAACCCTGCGGGCGCTGTCCTTGCGGAGCGCGGGCACCGCGCCGGGGACCGCTGGGGCAGCCCGGGGGGGAGCGGAGCGGGGCCCGCATCGGCGGCTGCTGCGGGCACAGCCTGCCAGCCATGCTGGGCACCGCCGTCCGTCCCGGGCACTGCCGCCATCCATCCCGGGCACTGCCGCCATCCATCCCGGTGCTGCCATCCATCCTGGACACTGCCATCCATGCCGGGCACTGCCATCCATCCCGGGTACTGCCATCCATCCCGGGTGCTGCCATCCCGGTGTTGCCTCTTCGCGGCCGCTGATCTGCCCCGTCCCGGCGCTCCGGGGCCCCGGTTCTCTCCCCGCGCTCCTCCTTGGCCGGGGACAGGATGGGGGGAGGCGTGTGACAGAGGACGGGATCGAATGTAAATTATTCTCCATTTATTTTGCATTAATGTGCATAAGCAATGCATAAACAGCAGTGCAGTGACAGTAAAGGTGGGTCAGCAGAGCTGACGGTCGCCTGTCACATTTGCACGCCGTGTCTGTGCACTCCAGTGCGGTACCCTGGAATGCGAATTCAGCTCCTGGGAAATAAAAGAATGCCACAGATCCCGCTCTGAGTGTTTTCAGTAGGCATTTGTTTTGGAAAAAGAAAAAAAAAATTAAGTATCCGGTTCAAAATTTGCATACATGAATATTGCAAGAGCGCGTCTTTTGTGACACGGAAAGGACAGCTCGGCACGCACGGAACGCAAGGGGGGGGATGAGCATCTGCTCCCGGTAAATTGGGAGCAGGAACACCCTCCCCGTTGGGCTGTGATGCCCGGCTCCAGGCAATCCAAGTCAATCCAAGTGCGCAGGCGGAGCGATGGTGGGGATGGTGAGGATGGTGAGCACATGACACCCCACAGGAGCTCTGGTGGCGCTGCCGACCCCCCAGGTAATTCCCTGGATTGCGAATAGTGATGGATGATGCTGGTTCCCGTTAAGCGAGGGGACAGTGTTTTCCAGGAGCTGATTCTGTTTATGTTCCTGCTTTAAAAATAGAATCACACTGGGAGGATTTGGTTTGTTCCCAGCAGCTCCAGGACGTGGCGATGTCTGCGTTTGATACGCTGTGTCTCGCAAACCCAAAAGACTGGAGCCGTTTGAAGATTATGTAAAAATAAAGGTGCAGATACCCTTGAAAGAGAGGAATAATGGGACCAGGCATTCAAGAATATCCCTTATTGCTGCACAGAGAGACACAGCAGAAGGGAAGCCACAGCCACACCAATGAAAACCACAAAGGAATGGTAAAGTAAGGAAATCAATTTCTCTCTTTCTGGTTACAGGACTGTCAGGATACTGTAGATGAGTTAATAAGTGCCTGGCTGTACTGTTGAGATTGTCATCCTCTGCCCTGATCCACAGCAGCAGGAATGATTGTGCAGGATGATCATGCAGGTCACAAAGTCACAGAGGTGACTGCAGCAGTGCTGGAGGCACAAGACGTAGTTTCGTTCTTTTATAAGCTCTTGAATTTATGAAATCAGGTTTTTTAAAAACCAAAATCTGACTATATTGACATAAAACCTGTGAAAACAAGATGTACATTCTGGCAAATTAACTGACTGATTAGACTATTATTTATTACCCCCAAAGTAATTTTGGGATACTCTGTCAGAGGATTCTATATAAGGGCTACATTCTATTATTATATCATCAGAATTATTCACTATTGAAGTAATAGTATTAAAAATACAGTAGTGCATTAGTAGTATAAAAATAAAAGGTGACCGTGGCAGAGTTTGGTGAACTTTAAGAATAGTTGCAGTCAATTCTCTTTTCTAAATTCAATTGCATTCTAATCTTTTATTGTATTTTCTTTCTGATGGTCATATATGTTGCTATTTATAAGTGATATTCTATTTAATCCTTCATAGTTACAGCAATGGAAAAAGCCATCCAAGCACCAAAGGACTAAATAAACCAATTTCTTATGTGAAATCTTCTCCTGGAAGATTGGGCAAGAATGTATCAAGTGCCATTGAAAAGGTAAATAATGCCTTTTTTAGTGTAAGAAGAGTACCTAGTTTAAGTCAGCTTCTTAATAACATCCCATACTTTCATATCTCTTCAGCTTTCCCCTGACACTCAAGATGGTAACCAACCAAATGTTCTTAAGAAGGGAAGAAACCATCTGGAGAGCAACACTCAGTCCAAAAGGTAGTTTTATGTTCAGATTGTCTCTTTAATTTGTGGTCATTTCAGACTGGTTTATAAAATGCGTGTGATGAAATCATGGCTGCTGTGTTGTGCTTTTGACTTCACTGGCCCCAGAGTTCAGCATTTATGAGGGCAACAGATATAATTTATCGATATGCAAACTTACTGTCCTGCCTTAGTGAATTCTTAGGAAAAATCAGAATAAAATAAAATAAATCAGTAGTAGACAGTGTTATCTCTACCAGCAAATATTAATTTTGCCTCATGACCAAGTTTCTGTGCCAGTTTTATCTTCCATCATGTAAATCCCTGTCCTTGAAGGGGGGTAGCAAGACCTTTGCAAGCCGATGTTCAAAGAATTAACCATTCTGACAAGACATGATCTTTCTTCTCATTCAGGATCCTGAGTGCTTGCCCATCACTGCACAGTGTGCAAGGACCAAAGAGGAGTCTCCCAGAAAGAAGGCAGAATGAACCTTTTCTGCACAGGATCCCTCCAAGCACAAAGGGCAGCACACAAGGAAACTTCTGTAGGGTTAAAGATGTCCCAGTGCAACATTTTTATTGCAGTAAAAAAGAACAGTTGGAAAAGAATCATGAAGAACACGTTGCTGGAGCCAGTCCAGGCCCTTCTAAATGGCAAGAAGCATCTGTAGGTCAAATGTTTCTTGATTTTGAATCGGTACAAATTATTAAAGAAGATGCTGAAGATGACAGTGCCAGTGACCTCTCTGATTCAGAAAGGATTCCCATTCCCCCCTCTCCCTGCACTCCACCAGAGCTCATTCTCCGAGCTGAAGAAATCGATCCGGATTGCTTGGAACACATCCCTGAGATGGGTTTTAAAAAATCAGAATATTACTACCCAGACTTCCTCCCACCCCCTTTCAACTCCTGGGACCTGAAGCAGCTGGCCATCTTTGTCCACGTGGAAGGGAAGACTGATTTCCGGCCGAAGCCGACGGGATTTCTGGAGAAGTACATCGAGCGCCTGGTGCAGCTGGAGTGGCTGCAGATGCAGACGGTGCAGAACGAGAGGGGAAAGGCGGCCAAGGCCCGGCCCCAGACTGCGCCCGGCTCCACCCGTGCCCTGAAGAGCCCTGGCAAAGGCAAGGCCTTGCTCAGCCCTGTGCCCAGCAGGCAGGGGGTGCCCCAGGACAGTGTTGCAAGGCTGCCCAGGAGCTGTTTGGGTCACAGGGGGGATCCCCACTGCGAGGGAAGCCGCCAGTTACATTCTCATCCCGGTCACTCGAGACTGGCAGAGAGAACGGGATGTGCAGCCCCTTCTCAGAGACAGTCTGGGGATGCCAGGGGTGAACTGAGAAAGAAACCACCTGCAAAGCAACAGCTCCTCAACCTGCAGCCCTCCGAGAACAGCCCTAAAATCCAAAGTGTTGGTAACATCAGACCCCCAGGCAAAGCCCAGCGTTCCACGGCGCAGCTGCTCCCGTCAAAGGCCTCAAAACGTTCACGTGCACGAATCCAAAGAGAAACGGCAATGCCAGCGGTTATGCTCCTCCTAAAAAACCAGCAGGGGACAGGAAAACAAAAACAAATGGCACCAAGCAAACGTCACACAAGTTCAAGTGAAGGAAAAGCCGTTAGGGAATGTTGCTGCTTTTGGCCAGTGCGGGAGGGTTTTCTTCGTAGGAAGATCCCGAGAAAATACGTTCTGGGTTCTGGGTCAGCACTCTTCATTTCTGTACCTTTGATCTTAAGCCAGCAAGGCCAGCAGGAAGTTTTTTTCCCTGAAGGCAAGTGTCTTCCATTGGTCTGTCCTCCAAAATATTTCCAATTGCTCGATGAAGATAACAGTAGCACAGGGTGAAGTTTAGAGAAATAGATGTGTTTGCACCGGTCTGTTGAAGGCTGTGGTGGTCCTTGTGTTTCCCATGGTGGTTTTGAGGGAAGAGGGTCCATGCTCTTTTTTTCTTGCTGTTTTATGAGGCAGGTTGGATGGTGGTGGTTTCTGATGGAAAGGGCTCAGCTGTTTTGTGGAAAATAATGGAGCCTGCTATCTATGCAAAGCCAACTCTGAGTCTTCACAGAAGATGAAGAATTGGATTTTTTTGATGAAATAGATACTATTTTTTTGAGAAGAAGAAGAATGGAGATAATGTTTTGAAATATTTTAATGTGGAAAGGATCTTTTTAAGACAAAATATTAGGGAGCAGACAGCTTCAATAGTGACAGATTAAGAAAATGGAATGTGTATTTTTATACCTGGAATCTTCACTGTGTTTACAGAGGCTTTCCTGGAAGTTCATTTTGTAAGTCTTGATGCTTTTTGTCTTTAGAGGAAATGGCCAAATTTCAAATTGCACATGAATTTATTAGAGTAATGCAAAGTGAGGGTATTACCAGAGACTGTGTGGCCTCATTTGCAGAACTGGTGGCCTCTCAAAACCTAAAAAGTAAACTCTTAGGGGAAGAATTTAAAGGCTGTTGGAAGTTCAGGTAAAGATACATCTTGATACAGAAGATACCTATTTTCAGTCACCCAAGATGACTGTTATTTAGCCCATGGGCCAGTCTAGCTTGGCTCCTTGTTTCAAGGTTTATTGAGGTGACATGAGGAAATATCCTACAGAGACAATCCTGGCTGTACAACCAGGATTGAGTCCTGTCCTTGGGCCCTCTGTCTTCTCTTGTGTCTGTGAGATACAAGAGAACACAAAGGACAGTTCAGACAATATTCATATGTCAGTTCATCTGGTACAATTCCAACTCAGACCCAGCAGCTGGGGACATAATCTTGTTTAAATTGAATTCTAGAGGATGTTTTGTATTTTCATTTAAAAATGAAATCCTGGTCAGCATTAAATTCATCCTCAGCCAGCCAGTTACAGTGTTCATGAGCAGTGAGCTGAGGTCTGACGGACCAGATCCTTCACATTGTGATGGAAAGTGGAAAAAGTAGCAAATACTAAAGAGTCCTTCATGTATATAGCTAAATTGCACTTCTCTTGGTGAGCTCATCTTGGTTTTAAGATGCTTAGCTGTTTCTATCTTTCATTGTGCCTACCAGATCTTCAGCTTTGTAAAATTTCAAAGCATGGATTTATATATAAATATATATGTAGTTTAAAATGTGAAAATCTTAATAAATGTAGTAATAAACTAGATTATTTTATGGTACATAAAAACATTGCTCAGGAATAGTCTTAAGAAATATTTTTAGTGTTTTTTTCCTAGTCTGCTGGAGACCAAATGTGAAATTTTAAATTGATAAAGGAAACAAATTTAATGGTATCACGTTTCCAGATTCAGTATTTGTGAAATTACAGTTAAAATGACTTGTAGTTGCATGTACATTCAGCTCTATGCAATTAAAGTGAAACTTAATCTGACATGCTCAAAGATCAAATCAATTGGCTGTCTCAGAGGTGGGATGGACTCAGAGGGTGGAACTGAACACCAGCAGCTACAGAGGACCAGCACATCCCATTGTCACTGTTTCACCCCTTTGTTTTGGCCCAGCCTCATATCACTTATTTCAGCTTTTTTTAGATGAAAAGTTCCTGCATCCAGTGCTTGTATTTCAAGCTCTGGCCAAATTTTGCAAGCCTGCCTTAGTCAAGTTTTCCTGATTCACATTGACAGTGGTCCAAGTTAGAGCTGCTCTTGCCAGTGAGCAGGAGTTGAGTTCCCTGTCCTAGACCACTGTTCTAAGCACAAAAAATAAGCAGGATCCAGGCAATAATCAGAATAGCAGTTTTTAAACACATTCTGTTAGGTGCAGGAATTAATTTAGCATGTTGTTACAGCACTGAATATTAGTGGATGAGAAATTTTCCTAGGAAACCTTCCTGTATATTGATGCTTCCCCGGGTTCTCAGGAGGGCGTGTAGGTGCAGGCACATTTTGCATGACCAGTGCTTGAAGAATAAAATAAGCAACATTTCAATCAGAAACCAGATCAGAGGTGATTGGCACTGAGAAAAGTTTGTTATCACAGAGGTAGGAAAGTTTTGTTTCAATGTAGTGCTTGTGATCTGGTGGACATCAGGCTGATACTGGAGATACAGAGTGAAGCAGGTGGAGATGGTGAAGCCACTTCAAGTAAGTGTGAACACTTGCTCATCGTTCAGCTGTGTGTGATCTGGCCAAGTAAGTTTGTCTCACATGATAATCACACCAGTCTAATTTTTGCTCATTGGTTTGATACTTCACAGTTGTCTTTGTTCACACACAGAAATAGAAATTCTGTGTTTGCCTCAACAAACAGCTCTTGGCCTGAGCAGACCTGCAAGGGGTGGGCTTATCATGTTACCATTTTAACTTGACTGTGTTCTGGGTCTACAGATAAAAAGAGCTCTTTTTGTGAAGAGGAATATGGCTTATGTTTCCTTCATTTTGTATTGATGTATATTGTCTTTAGAAGCACTTCTGAATATAGCAGAAGATTTTATTCTGTCAAATACATTCAGTTTAAAATTATTTAATTAAGATACATCCACAGCACAGTGTGTGGCTATTATATTTTTTTTACTATCTTTAGCAATAGGATCATCTGCGTGTCTGAGCCTGCCATTGGTGATGGTTCTTGAAGAACGAGTTGCTGTGATGGGAGATATTTAAACAGATTTATTTAATTTTTGTTTTGCTAGAGAATATCAAGGTTTACTGTTCTGCAGTGTTACCTACAGAATAAATATGCTCAGGTTGCATTTTAGATAATCAGCCAGATTGTCCTTCGGTTACTCAACTGTAAACTTTGAACCACTCAGTTGTTTTCACTGAAATTACCCTGTTACACTGATGTGAACAGAGTTTTACTCCAATATGTATAAACTGCTTTCCTTAGTAGTGCTAAACTGTATTTTTAGTGTATCACACAAAGAAATGTAAAGCAATACTGTTCTTCTCTTGACATGTTTCTTTTTCCTGCATTACTTGCATCTCAGACTGTGGCCAGTTAAAGTTTTACCTCCTTTGCACCATAATCCCCTTCCTGCTCATGTCCCTTCTGTGTTTCCTTTATTATTTGAGGTAATTTTATCTTGTATTTGCTATTTAAAGGATCTTGGTAGAAGTTTGAGAGAATTTTGGTAGTTTTTTTCAGTCAGTCTGTGACACCTTTTCTTGGAGCTGATAGTGTAGTTGAAGTTTCTGCAGAATGAAATTGCCTAGAATGTACTATTTTTTGCCTTATTTTAAAGGTATTGAGCCTTTGTTGCTCCCATTGCATCGGTTGTTTTTCATCTGAAAAATAAACAGACCACTCTGGAAGGACTGAACTCGATTAACTGAGTGTTTGCAGCCCAGCTTTTGATGTTGATAATCACGTATTCCTATTTATTTGAACTTTTTTTGTGAATATTTTTGCTAGCAAGTTCATTGGGAGGTGATCTTGTAATTCAAAGTTCCTGTATATTTGCTACATTAAAAGTGAGATACTGCCCGTTTTGGTACTGAGTTGTATTTTTTTCCATCATCCTCGAGGGGGCGTTTCGGGACCATTCTTTGAGAACATTCCTGTCCCGCGGGATGGAGCTCGAGCTCAGCTCAGCTCAGCTCTGATGACCAAGTGATGTCATAAAAATACAAGTATTTCTACTCCACCTGGCAGTCACTTCTGTCTTGGCTGTGTTAAGGCATCATAACAGGTGCAAATAGCAGGAAAAACCTCACCACGTTCACACCTTTTTCAAAGGTTTAACATTTTCTGTTGTAATCTGCAGGACACAGAACACGATCCAGAGAGCAGCAAAGCCGTGGGTGGATTCACGCAGAGAACCACGTTCTGACATTGCTAATATCCATGGATATGTGTAACTTAATTTCACACACTGTTCATATGTTCAGCTGAGATTCATCAAGAGGAAAATGAAGGGAGAGAGACTGAAAGGGGGGGGGGAAATGGCAATTCCTGTTGCTCAAAAACCCCTTTGCTTTGCTGTTCCTGTAATCTTTATATTAAGCTTTACAAAACCCCTCTGTGAGACACCACACAAGAACTGTACAAGCAGAACATTTACAAGACTTAATTTTCCTGCTTCTTTATGTAGTTTTATGTAAAAGGTATTTTTCACACCCTGGTTGGGAAGTTCAGCCTCAGGCACACGAGGTCATCCTGGTGGGATGGCTTTTCAGCGCAACAGAAAACAACCTGGTGGTGTTTATATCAACTTTCAAATTAGCTGCTCCAGAATTTGCTCCTGTTTCAAAGTCTGAGGTCACAAAAACTCCTGGGCATGGCTGATAAAACCACCTTCCATTGAATATACAGCACCTGTTTACTTTGCAGATAACTGAGAAGTTCTTAGGAAATGGCAAAACAAGCCACGTGTTTACCTTTATTGCAGCCATGGCCCATTTATTGTGTGTGGAAGTGGCAGCTGCAAACTGACTGAAGGAAACCAACACCACGGGAGGATTGAGCTTTTCTTTTAGTGCAGTTTTACAGAAACAACCGTTCATTTTCTTTCACTTTGTGTGACGAGGCGGAAACATTCCCAGGCCTCTGGGGCGGCTCCCGGGGCTGCTTTAAAAGCTTTGGGCTGTGGGAGCCATCCCACAACATTCCACAGACCCGGCTCTGCTACACCTGGGGGCTCCCACCTCCCACAGCAGGACCTTCCCAGGCTCCCCACGGTCCTGCTGCTCCCATGGAGCTGCTCCTCATCCTGCTGCTCCTGCAGGTGAGTGTGGGTGGGGATGTGGGGAGGGATCTGGCTGCACTGGGGGAAGGAGGGAGGATGGAGCCAGGATCTTCTTGGGGTGCAGCAGGA